AATAAGGATGTTAGCTGGACCTTTATCCCTCATTCCCTCCTAGCTTTCCATTTCAGTGCAGTCTCACCCAAGAGAGAAGCTCACATTGCTCTCTGTATTCCATTCACTGTCATCTCAATTTGGGTTCCACTGGCTCACCCCTCAACAGGAGAAACGGTGTGAAGACACTCCCTGTGGTTTGTGCCAAGGGTTAAGTCAGTGCTCATGTGAGGTGTATTTGGAAAGCACTGATTACTAACATGAACAAGGTAAAGGGAAACCAGGATGATCACTAGAGGCTTAGGTCAACAGCCTGAACAGCTAACAGAACCACATGGCCTCAACAGACACGCTGGATTAACAAAATGTGGTCGCTACCATGATGGGTGGCTAGAAACTCAGCTGGGAAGGTGCTTGCCTACAGAGCACCCAGAACAGATCTGCTGAGTGAATGCGCTGCTCTAAGAGCCAAAGCTGCCTGGCACTGGGGGTCCTAGCAGGAAGTACAGTGCCTGTGACAGGTGGCCACAGATGGACAGCTCTGGAAGCAGGCACCCGCCAATGCCCGCATGGGCAGGTCCAGACACCTGGTGCTCCAGGTGTGCTTGAGCCAACCCGGGTCAGGCACTCTGGGTCACCAACCTGACCGGCAGGAAACTAATGTCCTTGTTTTAGAGACGCTCCCACACAATATGTTAATATTCACAGGGAAGTAACTGACCAGGGGGTTAAAATCCTTGTGGCTGTTGCTTTGTGTATTTCACTCTTTGTGTTAAGCCAAATGCTAACTAGAAAGCTGCTTGGTGTGTCACTAGATGAGAACCAGGGATCCTCCAAGGCTCCTGTAATTAAAGCTCGATCCTCGGGGACTCTACTCTGTCTGGCAGCCGAGGGACCTTCCTGCTCCTTCTCTGGGTTACATCCCTACAGCCCCTTGATGTTGAAATTGTGCCCAAAGAGTTAAAGAAACCAATGACTAACAGAAATTCTTGAGCCTGCAGGATGGGTGATAAGAAACAACTCCAACGCTGAGACTCCCTCTGCTTATGACATCAAAGGACTGGCTGAGATCAGCTAGAACCAAAATGGACAGCTGGAGTTTGTGCAGAGCTTACTGACATCACAGCCTGCATTCCCACCATGTGTTTCATGTGAACTCCCTCCGAACTGGCACATGACCCGTGAGGTAGCATGAAGAGGTAACTACGCACACCCAAGGCCTTTCCAGCCCTCCCTTTTCCTTCCACCAACTACCTATTAATCCCAGACTCTACCCGCTAAACGTTTTCTGATAAAATTACTGCCTTAAAGCCAGCACAGAGAGACACATTTGAGCCTGACTCCTGTCTCCTTGGGGGTTGGTCTTCAATACAAAGCTTCTCTTTTCTCAGAAACCCACTGTCGTAGCAATGGCCTCTAGTGCATCAGGCAGTGAGCCCCTTTTTCTCAATAATAATGTGCCCAGGGATGACGACTGCTTATTCACTTACTGAGTGATTGCTTTGTGCCAGGAAACTGCACATTTTACATGCATGACCTCACTCAACCTTCAAACCACACGAGACAGGGACTATCATTTTACCAACAAGAATAAGGCTCAGAGAGGTTAAGAAACTTGCCCAAGGTCACACAGCTTCTTGGTGGTGGTGCTGTGATTCAGACAATGGTCTAACCTTAAAAGGTAAACAACCACATATTCTTCTCTGGTAACAGGTTTTCCCTTCAGTCTGCAACTTAGTAGAAGTCCGTAATCCCTCATCTTGAACTGTAACTGGGGCAACACGTGATTTGAAATTCAGAATTTTCGAATATTACAAAAGTGACCCATCTCACCCTCAGGGGGCTCTGGGGTAGTAGCAGAGCTCAAACCCATCAGTTATTATAGCTGATGGAGGAAACGTCACATACACGGGACAAAGTCATTAAACTTTAGAAAAGCCTGCTGTAAGGCCAGGCGTGGTGGCTCAAGCCTGTAATCCCAGCACTTTGGGAGGCCGAGACGCGCGGATCACGAGGTCAGGAGATCGAGACCATCCT